TCTTGAATATCTCCAGAGAAGGAGACTCCACAGCCTCCCTGGGCAGCCTGTTCCAGTGCTCCGTCACTCTCAGAGGGAAGAAGTTCTTCCTCATGTTCTGACAGAACTTCCTGTGCTTCAGTTTGTGGCCATTGCCTCTTGTCCTGTTGCTGGGCACCACTGAAAAGAGTCTGGCCCCAGTATGTTGTATGTCAGTATATGACACATGCCCTGATATGTTATATGTCAGTATAATACTGACAGTTAGGCGCTTCCCTTCTGGATGTGGGGGCAAAGGCACAGCTTTGTCACTTCTCCTGTTGGCGCTGGGGTGTGTTCGTCCTGTCCGATTGCTGTTGAATAGCGGCATCGGAAAGACTCCCTGAGGAAGTCTTTGAGTTTGGATTATGGTGTTTTAGTTGTGTGTTTCTTTAGCAGACTCTGGATCTGAACATTGCTTGCTTTTTTGAACTGTCGTTCCCTTTTGTGGTGTTACGTACATTTGCAGAGCAGTAGTCTAGCAAGGACCAACCAAAAATAATGGAGCGGTGTTGTCAGGTGTGAAGGAGAACTTTTAATAGTGGTTGGGTAGGGAAAAGCATTGCAGGAACGAAAAGTGGGCAGACCCACGCTTCGCTTTCCTGGCGACTGGCCCTGCCGGCATCCCGGGGCTGGTTGCTTTGTGTGAGGGTGAATGCTGATGCCCGTCTGTTGGTGGTTGCAGTTGTCCCCACTGTGCTGCTGGATGAAATTGAGGCAGCAGAGGCAGAAGGCAACGATGACCGCATTGAGGGGGTGCTGTGCGGAGCCGTGAAGCAGCTGAAAATGAACAGAGCCAAGCCTGATACCACGCTGTACCTGAGCCTCATGTACCTGGCAAAAATCAAACCAAACATATTTGCCACCGAAGGGGTTATCGAGGTGAGGGCTGTGCAGCATCAGGACTCTCGGGCTTACTGACCTGTTGTTGCTGCCAACTTGTGAGCATAATTTTAGTTTCTCTCTGGCCAGAGCATAATCTGATTGTCTTTGTAAATACCATGCCTCTGTGGCAAGCTGCTGCAATTTGTACTACTTTTTCTAAAGGTTTTCTGTATGCTTTCTTGCTAGATAGCTTGATTATTATTTTATTTTTTGTGGGTGATATTCCAGGCACTGTGCAGCCTACTCCGAAGAGATGCCTCCATCAATTTCAAAGCCAAAGGGAATAGCCTCGTGTCTGTCTTGGCCTGCAACCTTCTCATGGCAGCTTACGAAGAGGATGAGAACTGGCCAGAGATCTTTGTCAAGGTTGTTGAACCAAGGGGGCTTCTGTCGGATTGTGGGCAGACTGGGTAGAACCAGCTGGGGTTGGGAAGGGTGCGTGTGTTTGGGGCAGGACAGAGGCAGAGGATTGATTCCGGCTGCAAGGGAAGGGGTTATCCAGTGGCCTGGCGCCCAGCGTGGGGAATGCAGCTGGAGGAGGCAGAAATTGGAGACTGGGCCCGTGCTGTATCAACAAGGGAGAAAAAACAGAGTCCCTGGCTTTGTTTAAAGGAAAATCTCCACTGGTTGTTGAAATGCTGTGGTCTCCTTTGCCTTTTGTTGCTTTATCTTTGCTCTTTTCTCAGCTGCCTTTGACAATCTGTATTGATATGAGTGTCACAGAGACTGGTTATTGTCTAGTTTGTAGGGATTAAAACAGCCCGTTTATTTAAAAAGACTTGTTTTTAAAAAGGCCACCTTCTATATTTTGGTGGTAGAAGCTGTTGTGAAATCCCTGCTAAAGCTTGCTCAGCTTTGCTGCTGGAGAGGTTCGGTGTCTAGTAGAGCGTGGGATGGGATGGTTTGGTTTTTTGCTCTCACGTGACTTGCATGCACCATCTGGGCTCTTTCATCCGTGCAGTGGTTATGCTAGTTGCCTATTTTGCAGCTGTATACTGAAAATAAATAAAAACTGGGGAAGCTCACAAATACTCCTTTGATTAACCAGTGAAAAAAAAAAAAAGGCTTGAGCATGGTTCGTGTCCTCTTTTGCAGGTTTACATTGAGGACTCCCTTGGGGAGCGCATCTGGGTGGACAGCCCTCACTGCAAGACATTTGTGGATAACATCCAAACAGCTTTTAACACAAAGATGCCTCCCAAGAGCATGCTCCTGCATGGGGAAGTTGGACGTAGTGGAGGGGACCTTAGTGCAGGTAAGAAGATGTTTGGGAACTGAGAACAAAGTGGTAGGGAGGGGATGGACCCTGCTGAGCTTGTTGACTGGTGAGAATAGTTTGTTACTGGATGGAGTCACATAGGCCAGGCTTTGAGTTCCAGGCATTGCTTTTCCCCTCTTTGGGGTTCTTCCGTTTCTCAGGAGTGTTTGAGGGCAGGCAGTGAAGGAGGCCAGGAGAATGTGCTTGTTATGTGATACAACGTGAGGAACCAACTCATGGCATCCTTCAACATTGCTGAAGGAGATCCTTGAAAGAAGCTGAATGCATAAGAGAGTGAGCGATCTCTAGAAAATAGAGTTGTCTCAAGAAGCGTACTGTGTGCTGATCTCTCTTAGGGAGTAGCCCACACCCTTCCATGACAGAGGAGGAAGACAGCCAGAGTGAGCTGCTGATTGCAGAGGAGAAAATGAGCCCGGAGCAGGAGGGCCAGCTCATGCCCAGGTACAGTGCCTCTCCTTCTCCTGACATAGCTGTGTGGCAGATCTGTCTGTGCTCACCCACTCTTGCAGTGCTGCGGTGATCCCTCTCTGCACTAACTATACTGTGGCACTTACTAGAGGATGATGAGCATCAGAGACAGCTGGTTCTAGGAGAAAAGAGTAGATTTTTATTGTTTGTTTGTAATGCGTACCATGAACTAGAAATGATGCTGATCTCTGGGCGCAGCAAAGTGTGACCAAGCTGGCTTGTGTGGGAGTGAATACCATGTAGTTTGTGTGGCCCAGGTATGATGACCTTGCGGAGAGTGTGGAGGAATATGTCCTAGACATGCTGCGGGACCAACTCAACCGCCGCCAGCCGATGGACAATGTCTCCAGGAACCTCCTTCGACTGCTGACGGCAACCTGTGGCTACAAAGAGGTGCGGCAGATGGCTGTACAGAGGCTGGAGATGTGGCTGCAGAATCCAAAGGTAAGGATAGAAGCTGTTAAACCACAACTTTTCTGGACCCGGTCTGAAATCCAGCCAGGGGGGCCGCGTGCAGTGTGCCCGTTACGTTTCTGATCTGTGGTGGCAGGTGGCTGTAGCCTTTCTCTTCTTCCTCTGCAGCTGACCAAGCCAGCTCAGGACTTGCTGATGTCAGTCTGCATGAACTGCAACACTCACAGCTCAGAGGACATGGAAGTTATCTCCAACCTGATCAAGATTCGTCTCAAGCCCAAAGTCCTTCTCAACCACTACATGCTGTGTGTCAGGTGAGTGATCAGGTCTGTGACGGGAAGAGAAAGCACTCTGTAAGAGGTGCCCAGGGCCTTGACGGTCTCAATGCCTCTGCACAGTGGTTTTAAATACCAGCTCGGACCATGGGCTGTTCTGTGTAACATTTAAATGAATTTCATTGAGCTGGAAGTCTTTCAGTAATCCTTTGCCATAACTGGATGTAGGTGCTGCTCCATCCTCTTCACTTTTGTGTGTTAAATACTTCAGAGAGAAATCAAAACAGTGGGTCTAGCTGCCATGAAACCTCAGCTCTGATACCACTGGTCTTCCCTTGCAGAGAGCTACTGAATGCGCACAGGGATAACCTGGGCACCACAATTAAGTTTGTGATTTTCAATGAACTGTCAAATGCAAGAAATCCCAACAACATGCAGATCCTGTATACCGTGCTTCAGCATAGCTCAGAGCAAGCTCCGAAGGTAGGTGTAGAGTCTTGTGTGGCTGATGGTGATCCCAGACCCTTGCCCGAGAGATTTAGCTGAGCTGATGCTCGAATTAAGTCTTTCCACAGACAACTGTGATCTGTGTCATACTGCTTTGATATTATACTGTCGCGTTTGTTGGGAATAAATGTGCATGGGCATTTTCTAACTCCCAAATTCTGGGTGACCAACCTTGTGGTGATGAAGTTTCATGAGAAACACGTAGCTCCCCGGGGTCTGAAGGACAGACGTGCCACCAGCCTTATTTCCCACCGTCTTTTCGTTTTGTGAATGCAGATACGTTACAATGCACTGAAAGTTTTCTCTTTCTGTATGGCCTCAGTACCTAGCAATGGTGTTCCAGGATCTTTTGACTACAAAAGATGATTACCTGCGGGCTTCACGGGCTCTGCTGCGAGAGATCATCAAGCAGACGAAACATGAGATCAACTTCCAGGCTTTCTGCCTGGGTCTTATGCAGGAACGGAAGGAGGCCCAGTATGCAGAAATGGAATTCAAGGTACCACTTGGTTTGACCCGTGTGCTGCTGGATGTACCAGTGGTGTACCGGGCTCTTCTGTATCTGTGTTTCTGGCTGTTCTTTCTTTTGCTCTTTGATACCTGAGTGAGTTGGTATTTGTGTGTCTGATTTCATAGCAGCGCTCCCATATCCTGTTTCCAAACATGCATGATTGTAATTTTTGATGATGAAACACCTTTCCAGAAGGCAGCTTTGGATATTGCTGATTCAACTTACGTTTGTTTGTTTGTTTGTTTGTTTTTGTTTAAGGAACGGTTTGTCATCCACATAACTGATCTGCTAGCTGTCTCCATGATGCTTGGTATCACAGCTCAGGTGAAGGAGGCTGGAATTGCTTGGGACAAAGGAGAGAAGAAGAGTAAGCAGAACAACCTAGGTTCCCTTTGAAGATGGGCAGCTTGGTAGATATCTCCCTGTGAGGTTGGGGGAGCATTGCAGCTGGGATTAGGAAGGGGTGCAAGCCTCCGTTCTGAACAGAGGTGTGGAGGTGCTTGCTGTCATCCTGAGACTGACAGAGTTGGGGGATGGGGCGTTTGCATGGCTGGGTGCTTCTTGTGTCTATGGAAGCAGTGGTTGAAAGGCTGCGGAAAGGGGCCTTGAGCCTGGAGGGGCAGCCGTAAAGGTTACCAAGTACCTAATGCTGAGAAGACAGGCCTCTGGGGCGGCATTGAAGTGACTGCCCAGATGTCTTCTTCTCACAAGGCTAATTTCTTCGTGCTACATCTCAGGCTTTTGTTGCAGCGCGCATCAGAAAGCAAAGCATGTGCGCTGTCAGTGCTGGGATGCTCAAGGCTGTCCGATTATACCCCTCCCTGGTTAACTGTTGGTGCCTCAGAGTCCTGGTTACTATTTGCTCTTGAAATGGCCACCCTCTCCTGCTTGGCTCCCAGTGGGGCTCCGATACATGCATAGTTTGTGACCTGTTTTACAGACCTGGAAGTGCTACGCTCTTTCCAGAACCAAATTGCTGCTATCCAACGAGATGCTGTCTGGTGGCTTCACACGGTCGTTCCATCTATCAGCAAGCTGGCTCCAAAGGACTACGTGCACTGGTAAGAGAGTCAGCTTGGTAATCTGCTGGGCGTAACCTGTCCCTTTCCCAACAGTGTATAACAAATTATGAAAAAACATGTAAATGCCAGGGTTAGATTTCTCTCCCCTTCTCAGACATGGAGCAGAAACAGTGTTTTAGCAGGGTTCAGGCTGGGACTGCCTGCCTCTCAGGAATTCCTGCAGATACATCCTCTTACCAGAAATGTATGAGAATGGACAATATTTCTGACTTATGTTATTTCGGTCCACCCAGTAAGGAATTTCCAGTGACCTGACCAAGCATGATGCCTGTGGACCCATTGTTGTTCTTTTGTCTGATGTGCTTTTTCAGGCTGTGTGGTTGAGGGCTCCACAGACAGTGCTGTGTTCTCTGCCTGCTGCTGGTTGCATCCTGGGGTCTGGCTCAAGGCGTGACTGAGGCAGGTTAAGCCAGAATTAATAGTGTCTGAGATGTGTTCACTGGAAGTGTAAATGCCCAATACCCATACTGCACAGTCCTCTCTACTGTGATGTGAGTTGTTATTTTTGCTAGACTAGCTCATCTGAGGGGGCTCCTTCATGTGTGGGATGAGAAGCATTAGCAAGAGTTTGGGAATACTGAACTGTTGAATGTGTTCTTGAGCTTCATGCAGATGGTGTTTACTGTCCTTTTCACCTCTACAGCCTCCACAAGGTGCTCTTCACAGAACAGCCAGAAACCTACTACAAATGGGACAACTGGCCCCCTGAGAGTGACCGCAAGTGAGTGCATGCCCCACCCATAGCTGGGTACAGGCGCTGAGCTGCTGTAGCTGGAGGCAGAGAAATTGCTGTTTTCTGGTGTTCCTTATATGGCTCTGTCTTGGAAAGGCTTGGAACTGTGCTTAGATTTTCTTCATCTGTTGCATTGCCTTAAAATTGAGGGATGTTGCTCTGTTTTCTGTCTGTTCCTCTTCCTCCTTCGTTCCCGTTCCCTGTGCCAAGCTGTTTTGTATCTTGATGCTGTAATTAATTGTAAGAAGGGCAGCCTTGCACTGTGTGGTTTGTACTGGGGTAACCTTAGGGAGCTCAGACTCAAGTAGGCTGGAGTGCAGAGGTACAAGGCAATGCGAGCAATATTCCGTAAAACAGTTTTTTTTACAGGTAGTTGCATTTGGAGCTGGAGACTGGGGAAGGGGTTGTGAACTAAGCTGTGATTTATCTTCTGCTCAGATTAGCTCTAGGGTTCATGGAGGGTTTCAGGAACCCTCATGCTGCTGTCAAAAGAAGCATAATTGATGTCTCGTGTCTCACGCAGCTTCTTCCTTCGCCTCTGCTCCGAGGTGCCCATCCTTGAAGACACACTGATGCGAATCCTTGTGATCGGTTTGTCGCGGGACCTTCCTCTTGGCCCTGCTGATGCCATGGAGCTTGCTGACCACTTGGTGAAGCGGGCTGCGGCTGTGCAAGCAGATGGTGAGACTGCACGAAGCTCCAGTCAGCAAGTGGTTACTTCTGTCTACAGGTCCTCTTATTGCCAGCCAGGGCTGAGGCAGCTCCTACTATGTACCAGAGACCCTTTGTGTCACTTAAAGCATGTTTTAGTCACGATGGCTAAGCATTTGGCTGGAAGCCAGACTTGTATTGCTGTTGCTTTCACACTAGAGAAGCTTCTTATTTTCTCCTACCATGTCTCCCTGTTACTATTTTTCCATCATGGAGTGTTTGGGAAATTATTGGTTGTGTTGACGATGAAGGGCTGTGAGTAACCACCCAGAGTTTTGAGCTGGCTTTTTAAAATTCAGTTTAGTTCTTAATAGATACCGTAAAATGAATACAAATTTTTAAGCCATGCAAAAATGAAGGGGTTGGAAGTTAAAGTAATTAACCCGTGTATTTTATGCTGCTCCCAATTCCATTATTCAAACACTGTTACAAAAGCAGCCTTAACTCTTACCCCTTTTATGAATTCATTCAGCGTTTGTCCAAATTCCTGCGTCCTTGGAGAGTACATCCATTCAGCTGAGCTGTATGTGTTTGTGCTGAGGAGGTGTCAGAGTTTGGTTCTAAAGCATCTTACGTGCTCTTAGTTCTGACTGGTTAATAGCAAAGTCTAATCCAGATCTGGTCAGTGCAAGTGGAGTGAGCTAGACTTTGCTGTTGAATATCCTGTGAAAACAGGTCCAGCCTCTCAGTATAGCATTTTAAATGCTGCACCATTGCAAATACTGGAAGACTCAGGGTTAAGTTAGAGTGAGTCTGAAAACTTGCAGCAAAGTTGAAATGCGTTTTTAGTTCCTCTGAGCCCCAGAAGTTCTGAGCAGATTCACTGCTTACCTGAAGGAGTGTATCCGAGTTCTGAAAAAGATACAGGTATCATATTGGATGCATTTGGGAAAAAAACTGCCCTTAAGAATTTAAACCAAATTGCAGCTGAAAAGCTCGATATCCTTATGTATTGACTTGTAGCCTTTTTAAGTGTTGTTGGGTTTTTGTTACTGTACTATCATGAGAACAAGCCCACAATAACATAGTTGCTTGAAGTAAAATTTTTGTTATACTGTGATGCTTTTCTTGAAGGACTTTGAGCCAGGTAGACGGGTCAATAACTTGCTTAGTCTTTTCTTCTCCTCCAGATGTCGAGGTCCTGAGGGTAGAAAGAATCCAGCTGATCGATGCAGTCTTAAATCTGTGCACTTACCACCATCCAGAGAATATCCAGCTACCCCCAGGGTAAGGCTTATCACATAGACAATCTTGTTGTGATCTAACTTATTTTCACCTTGTGACTAACAATACTGGCTCACAGATTTTAAGATGCTTTTCCCTATTACAATTTCTAGTAGCAGAATCGTGAGGAAACCTTTCAAATGTCATGTTCAGGTGGGAATTTCTCTAGGTCAAGTAACACCCGAGTCATGGAACAGACTTTCCTCTGCAAGCACTCTGATCTTTCTGCTCTGCTTTAGAATAAGTGGGGTTTTTTGGTTTTTGTTTTTTTTTTTTTGAAAGCCCCTGAACTGATGTGGCTGAATCTAAATAGTACATGATTAAGGAGAAAAGCAGTCTTGAGATGACCTTAAGTAACCAAATCCAACCATTTGTATCTGTTGATGGCTTTTACAGGTACCAGCCTCCAAATCTAGCTATTTCTACCCTCTACTGGAAAGCCTGGCCTCTCCTGCTTGTAGTGGCTGCATTCAATCCTGAAAACATTGGTGAGTATGGACATTTCTCAGGATCCTAGTTCTGCTGCAAAAATAGGCCACAGTGCTGTCTGCTGAAGTCTGGTTGCCTGTGTCCAAGGCATGTGCTGGGTTGGTGAGATAGCCGCAGTTAACTAACTGTGTGTTCCTGTGTGTGCAAAAATACACAGCGTGGGGGTTTGGACCAGCACGTGGCTGGAATCGCGGTGTCTGCGCTCAAAGTGTGGTGAGCTGTTCCAAAGTGAGTTTGTGTGTCTCCCCACCTTGGAGTATGTTAGAATATATATAAAGACTCACTTTTTTTCCTGTATCTCTGATTGCGCTTCTCTGCTGCAGGTCTGGCTGCATGGGAGGAGTACCCCTCTCTAAAGATGCTCATGGAAATGGTCATGACCAAGTTAGTATGCTTAAATCCCTGCTTAAATCGAATAGGCCACCAAACCCACATACTTCTGAATGACGTTTGTGCCAGCTGTCTCCTTCCTTTTCTGTGGGACTGGTGTAAAGTAAGCTGACTGGCAGCAGCACTGCAGTTTGAGTGGGAAAGGTGCCTTCCCCCAACAGAAATATTAGAAGCAAGTGAATAAAGCTGAGAAAAAGGGAGGGATGACTGTAATGTGCCTTGCTGAAAAGGTCTCAGTGTCCCTGGCGCCTCTGGGAAGCTGCCTTGTTTTTTCTATGTTGCCTAATGGAGCTGAGGTTCTGGGGACTTTGTGACTGTGGTTCATGAGTTTTGAATAGGTGAAGATAACCATTTTCTTTTTTAACTTATTTTCTCAGTAATTATTCCTATCCTCAATGTACTTTAACGGATGAGGAGACACGCACAGAGATGATTAATCGTGAACTTCAAATCTCCCAGAGGGAAAAACAGGAGATTCTTGCATTTGAGGGTCATCTGGCTGCTGCATCCACAAAACAAACAATTACAGAGAGCAGCAGTCTCTTGCTGTCCCAGCTGACAAGTCTGGACCCTCAGTAAGTAGCCTTCTGCAGTCTGGTGCCATAATGAAATCCCAGTTAATGCTAGTCAGGAAACTACTGCTTGTAGGGTGGTAGATGTGGGCAAGAAGAGCCCTGTGATTTGGTAGCCCGTGGGATATGTGTCACATTTGGTCCTTCTCTGATTGCCACCTGCACATGGCCCTCGTGCACTACTGAGCTGACTGATCCTCATCAACACCGGAGTGAAAGTGTGTCTGCCTATGGATAACTTCTTGTTTCTCTGGCAGGGGCCCCCCGCGCAGACCTCCACCACATGTCCTGGAGCAGGTGAAAAGCCTGAACCAGTCACTTCGCTTAGGCCACCTCCTGTGTCGCAGTCGTCATCCTGACTTTCTTCTCAACATCATTCAAAGACAGGTGGGCTCCCTCGATGGCTTGGCAATGTTGGGATCTGATCCCTCGTCTCTGAAACTTGACCAGAGTGAGGGGCAGAAGCAAGCTAAGAAAGATGCAGGGGAAGGCAGTTTACAGCTCAGGAATTAAATGATCGGTGTGCTGCATCTGTGTTCTGCTGATCTTGCATTGTCATTCTCCTGGTTCCTAGGCCTCATCGCAGTCAATGCCATGGCTGGCAGATCTGGTTCAGTCCAGCGAGGGCTCCTTGGACGTCCTACCTGTGCAGTGCCTTTGTGAGTTCCTGCTTCACGATGCTGCTGATGAGTCGACCTCAGGTGAAGAAGAAGAGGAGGGCGAGAGTAAAGAGCAGCGTGCCAAGAAACGCCAGGTAAGTAGTCTCCTGGGGATCGGTTCTGTTATCTACTTTCTGTGCATCCTGGATTTGATTTAATTGGAAAGGCCAACTTCTTGCTCCACAGAGACAACAGAAACAAAGGCAGTTGCTTGGACGGTTGCAAGACTTGCTGTTGGGTCCCAAAGCAGATGAACAGACAACCTGCGAGGTGCTTGACTATTTCCTACGACGCCTGAGTTCCTCCCAGGTGGCTTCACGGGTCTTGGCCATGAAGGTGAGCAAAATGAAAATCTTGACTAGGGTTTATCAGAAGCTGAGGGCAGATTCCTAGATTCTCATGAGACCAGAGCCAGTGCAGTGAAATTGTTTCATGCCATCCTTCTTCAGTAACTTGTCTCAATCTCCAAACCCCATCAAATGCACTTCTACTCCCTGCTGCTCAGAAGCCGCCTTTGTTCAACAGCCAGGTAGTACTTTCCTTGGATAGAGCTGGATTTTACTATGTTTCCTGTGAAGTTCAGGTGTAGACTCAGCAGATCATGTGCCACGTGGACTAATTGGCAGCAGCTGTTGTCTGTGGGGAATGTAAATGAGTGAGTGCCTGGTGCTCTAGAGCACAGTCAAGGCAAGCAGAATTGCAGAGAGAGCTCAAAAAGATGAAAACTGAAACTTCAAGCAGGGTAGCTGTCAAGCAAACCCTTTATATGAGATGTGGAACCTGTTGTGTGCTGCATTTGGATTGTTCCATGGTATTTGAAGCTTGTTTCTGTTACATTCACAAGTATGAAACGAGTGGTCCAGCTGTGGCTTCAAATGCAACAGCTACGTCCTTGTGACTTTTGCAGGGCTTGTCCCTGGTGCTGTCAGAAGGGGGACTGCGTGATGGAGAGGAGAAAGATCACCCCATGGAAGAGGACTCTGGCGATTCTGAACTGCTGCAGGGGTATCAGTGGCTGCTGAGAGACCTCCCAAGGCTGCCGCTCTTTGACAGTGTTAGAGCGACAACAGCTCTTGCCTTGCAGCAGGTAGGTGTTAGTAGCTGGGATAAGTGACCAGCCGCTTCTTTGTCCTACTCATGCTAAAACAAACCTGAGCAAACTGGCGTGTGGGTGCGATGTTGACATGTTTATATCCTTGCAGAAGTATTTTTTCTTGTGCTGGTGCTTGTTTTCATGAAATCCTGGTTTCTAATGAGAGAAATTCTTTTAGGCCATCCACATGGAGACAGATCCCCAGACCATCAGTGCTTACCTGGTGTACCTCTCCCAGCATGCGCCAGTGGAGGAGCAGGGACAGCACAATGACCTCGCCCTGGTGAGAGGCCCGGCTGCCTGGGCAGAGGGGTTGCATGGGGGAGACCTGGCGTGTGTCAGGACGGTGGTAGACATGTGACTTGCTGTACCAGCATGACGAGGTTCTTGGGAGCACATGAATCTGCTAACTGCATGTTTGTGTTTCTGCATATGTGTTGGAAGGCAACTTGTGGCTTTGGTTTCATATCACAAAACTATACCAGAGCAATAACCTCCAGTCCAGCAGCCCATCTCAGATGGCATGGGGAATGCAAGAGTGGATAGTGATTTGAAGGAAATCCAACTAGCTGGCAGTGTTTCACAAGTCAGCAGGTGCTAAACCTGCAGTCACGTGTATCTGGGGAGAGAATGGGAAGTCAGGAACCTTAGTGGTGGCATATGCACTCTTTTTTTTTTCATTTTGGTGATTTTTAAATATTTTTTTTTTCAGTGTTTGGCTTTTATACAATGTTTTTTGTTTTCAGTGTTCTGTCTCTGGGTCCTTTGTTTTTTCATTGCTTCTAAGTCCATTGAACTCCATCTTTCGTAACAGTCTTTTGGAGATGGGGGCACAGACCTAGAGGCTCACATGTTCTGCCTGCATAAATCTGTTTAGATACGTGGAGAATGTTAAATGTAAGAGTCAGTAGATCTGTTTCTTCAGAGAAATCAGATTTTTACTAAGTAAATGCTCACTTTGTAATAGGATGCATGAGAATGGAGCTATGCTACAGCTGAAGACACTGTACGGTATCACAAGATGCATGCAAAGCACTGGTGTTTTCTCTTTTGTGATGGTTCCGCTCTTGACTCTACATGTTGATCTCCAGAGTGGTGTTAGCTGGGCTGATGATGGAAACTGGAGAATGTGATGCAGTGAAGCCAGAGGACCTGGCTGTGTTGTTCAGCAAAGACCTTATGGATCCTTTCCCCTTGCAGGATGTAGCCCGACTCATAGTGGAACGCTCTACCATCATGTCTCACCTCTTCTCCAAGCTCTCGTACTGTGCTGAATCAGATGCAGTGCTTGTTGCTCTTCTCTCCATCTTTTCTCACTACATCAAACGCATGCGCCAGAGTAAGGAGGGCGAGGAGGTGTACAGCTGGGTGAGTGCCTCCCTGCGTTTGTTAAGCAGGTAGAAGAAACTGGACAAGTTAACAAGAGAAGCATGTTGTGGGTTACTGAGTGTGTAGAAACCACCTCTGGTTCAAGAATTCCCTGATCTGAAAATTACTGGACATTTGCATAATACCAGAGCCAAGTGTATGTGTCCATGAAAAGCTTTTTTAACTTTTCCTTGAGTAGCTTTTGTTGCCACTGTTAGAGATACTGGGCTAGGTGGAACTTTGATCTGACTTAATTTGTCCATTCTCATGTTCTCCTTTCATCTGCATCTCACAGATCTCGTTCTCCTTTCTCTCCCCACCTTTGTTCATCCGGTTTTCTTCTGCGTTTTTCCAGTCAGAGTCCCAGGATCAGGTGTTCCTTCGTTGGACTAGTGGGGAAACAGCCACTATGCACATCCTTGTGGTTCATGCCATGGTTATTCTCCTGACACTAGGGCCGCCTCAAGGTTAGTGAAGTGTGCTCAGAATTATTCAAGGGGTCATGGGCTATACAGAGAGCCTTTCCTCTGTCCGCCATCTCCTGGATCAGGTCAGAGTGGTGTTAATCCTTCTACTCACAGGCTTGTCCCTTGCAGTATTTGTTTGTAGCTGTAAGATCTATCAGAATATTGCTGCACAGAGTGAAGGATTTGCAGGCGTATTTTTTTGCCTTCTTCAGACAGCAGGAAATACCAAAATGATGGCGTGTCCCTCCCTGCTAAACAAGAAGGACTCAGACTTACTGTAGTGTGAGAACTGGGAACTCAGATGTGTAGTTCACAGTTCCACTTGATAGTGTTGATTCCCAAGTTGTTTGTGACCTTTTGAACAAGAAAGTGTTCTGGTGTATTGATTTGTACAGATAAGGCTAAGGTGTTCTAGGTGCCTGTGAACATGAGAGATAACTTTGTATCCACTCTTAAGCAGGGGATGGTGATTTTTATACCTTACTGGATATATGGTTCCCAGAGAAAAAGCCCCTTCCTACTGCTTTTCTGGTTGACACCTCAGAGGAGGCTCTGCTGCTCCCGGACTGGCTAAAGCTGCGTATGATCCGCTCCGAGGTCCCGCGTCTTGTGGATGCAGGTGAGCCTGTGGGATGTTTGTTGGTATTTCAGACCCTCCTGAAAGGAAGGGAGAGGCTTCGCTGCTCAAGTCCTCTATGTGCCCAGCCGTCCTACTGGGATGAGGCCATCAGGCACTGCAGGCACTGCAGCTGAGCAGAGAGCTGAGCAGCGTGTCTCTGGATTTTGTGACAGTCGCAATCTAAACGTACAGTAGATTATTTGCTACATCCCTTAGGACTGTCAAACAGACGTACAGAATATGAGCTGGTTCCAGGCAGGGAATGTTGTGGGATTCCCTGCTCAGCCATGATGTAGTTCATGTAACAAGGGTTTGAGAACAGATACAACCTTGCTAACCATCAGACCCCACAGGTTAATCTCCACAGCATTAAGAGCAGAACCCACTGAAAGCTGAGACTAAAGAGGCATTCAGTGCCTTTGGTAGAGCTTGTTACTGCAGTATAGAAGGCATTTCCTCCCACTCTGATCCAAGCACTGAATCTTGCTGGCTTTTAGATGCAGTCACTATTACTTTTAGAGTAGGAGAGTGAATGTGTGGATATTGCACTTTCTGTGCATTTTAAAGGAAATTACTCTGAATGGGAGCCCCATCTTTGTTACAGTTCAGATTGAACTAAGCTGTGCAGTCACCAGACGACAGGCACAGCACTGCTTCCACAGGGCATGGTGTGCTCAAAATGTGGAGAACGGTGTCTGAAGCATGTAAACTATAACCGTAGTTACTTTTGTCCTTGCACAGCTTGTCAGTGCTCTTTTTCTTGGTATTCAGAGCTTTCTTCCCTTTCTTACTAATTAAATGACAGCTCTCTATAGCCAGTGATTGAATTATTCAATAATTCCTGCCTGCAGACATCAACAGATAGGGTTGAAGTTATTTTTTAATACGAATTATTGGGTTCCTGAGGTTTTGATCAAATTAAACAGAAGATCAGATTAGCCAGTGAGTGAATTAACTGGAAGATGCAATAAGAAGGCAATGATTTGCAGAGCAAAGAAAACATAGTAGGCAGCTGTCAGACTTCTGGCTTTAGGCTTTCTGCAGCCTGGTCATTAAAGTGTCACTGTTGGTCCAACAGCACAAAGATCAGGTAATAGGGATAACCCTCTGTGAGCAATTCAGAGATCTGAGTACTTGCTGTTTCTGTATTTCAGCCCTGCAGGACCTGGAGCCACAGCAGCTCCTTCTCTTTGTTCAGTCCTTTGGAATCCCAGTTTCCAGCATGAGCAAGCTCCTGCAATACCTGGATCAGGCAGTATCTCATGATCCGCAGACACTGGAGCAGAACATCATGGACAAGAGTAAGAGCTTCATATGAGGCTGACTAGGCATTTTACTTTTTCTTGAATAGTTTTCACAAGTATCTGCTGTGACTTCCCTGGAAGAATCCAAACTAGTTCAGCAAACTCTGTGCACAGTCTGCTTTGGCAGCCTGTTGTCACTGTAGGCACCTCCCTAGAGCTTGTCTGGATGGTCCTTGGCTGTATTTCCCGAAGTAGAGAAGAATTTTCTGGATTGGATTGTGCAGAGTCTAAAAAGCAGTTTGGAGGCTGACCTGTAAAAAAATAAGGCTGAGAAGCATCATGTTTACAAAGTCCATGGGAACAGCAAATTCCATTCACTGCAGGAGCTGTACAAACAGCAACCAATTCTGCCCTGCTTTACTAAAGAGGGGGAGATGATGGTGTGTTCATATCTTGTCCTTTTTCAGACTATATGGCTCACCTTGTGGAGGTTCAACATGAGAGAGGAGCGACAGGAGGCCAGACTTTCCACTCCCTGCTCACTGCATCCTTACCAGCCCGCCGAGGTACTGCCTGGGGTAGCCTAAACTTCTGAATATCAAAGTTGTCTTCCAAACTTCCTTCCTCTGTTACTGTTGAGAAGGACAGGAAAAGCTGCCTTCAGAACGGGTTGTGTTGCAGCATATCAGCAAGGTACAGTTAGACACCAGTCCTTGCTAGAGTTTTGCGCTCCTGGCGAAGGGGAAAGTTCCGGTATTATTGAGTTTACTACAATGAGTTGTTCTGAGGGATACGGTAAAAATAGGTCTTGCTTGGCCTTGAGAGAAAAGCTACTGAATTCCTTGGTAGTTAAGAAACTGTAAAGTTGAAGGTGATCCAGTGTTGGGGCTCCAGTTGCTAGCTACCGTAATGACATTTTTCTTTCTTTTCATTTATTCCTCTTGCAGACAGTGCTGAGACTGCAAGGTCAAAGTCTAGTCCTGAGAACTCTCAAGGCCAGAGCCGGATCCGGGCCTTAAGCCAGGTCCGGGTGCTGGGCCCAGAAGATGATCTAGCAGGCATCTTTCTGCAGGTACTGCTATAACCTGTAGCCAGTCGGCTACTTCGTTGCAGCGGCTTCATAAAATCAGTTTCCCTTATTACCTACATCTTCTGACCCCTTCCTCCTGCTGGGTTTGTAGGCAGGAAGTATGAAAGCCCTGCATGTGATGAGGCTGCACCATTACAGCCTGGTGGAATTGATACTGGAAGGATTTGAAGGATTTTTTTTCTTGTGGTTTGAACATGGTGTGGCTTTTGATCATGTCTAGTACTGTCAGTGCCTACTAGCGTGTTACTGTCTCTGCGCCTTGTTTGTTCTGTGTATAGTGCCTTTCCTCTCAGCAGCGGATGGAGGATTTGTGAAATGCTCGCAGGGCCTTGGCAGCAAAGCTGTGTGCAAACAGCATTTGTACTCTGGCTTGTCTGCTTGCAGAGCCTCCCTCTCTCCGCTGACTCCAGAAGGAGCCTACAGGGAATTAATTGGCCAAGTTGGTTGCCTGTATTTGGGTAGTATGGCGATTCCCGCATGGTGTCACTATTGATAGTCACGTTGGGATCGCATAGATGCTGCGCCTGTTCCTGGACCAGGTGCTAAAATATTGAAAAAGCTCTATCAGAAGGTTCCAGTAAGCCAGCAGTCAGTGTGATTGTACAAGGTAAATCAGTCCTCTGCCTCAGGATGTTTATGGTATAGCAAGTCCTTTTATTTGCTCTCATAAACATACTGCCTTCTGTATCCTACCAGCTTTTCCCACTGAATCCAGACCCACGGTGGCAGAATTCAAACCTGCGCCCGCTTGCCCTGGCCTTGCAGCAGGCCCTGGGGCAGGAACTGGCTCGCATTCGCCAGGGGAACGCGCCGGTGACTGGGATCACAGCACGGCTCCTCCAGGCAGTAGCTGCACTGATGAACTCGCCACACAGCGGCGCGTTGGTGATGGCAATGCATCGTAACCACTTCGTCTCCTGCCCGCTGATGCGCCAGTTGTACCAGTATCAGGTGAGCAGTGTGGGACAAGAATCTTTGTAGCATTGAACAGAGAGGGGTGGGGAGGAAACAGAAAGTCTGCAGAGCATCTGCTTTGTTGTGTGTAGACCCTCTACCTTTGTGATGCTGGAAATGGAGCCTGGCACAGAGGAACTCAAGTTGTCTGGACTTAGGCAGGATGTAGGCTGGCCACATTAGCCTACAACTGCTGAGAACTGGGGCTTACACGCAGAGTTAGGTGTACCCTGCCTAGTCTGGGAGCTGCGCAGCACTGTGGATTTGCAGCTGTGGCTGTCTGTTGGTTTTGGGATCTCTGGTCTGTGCTGTTTTGTAGCGTGGACATGTCTTGCAAGCCAGAGGACTTGCAGACAACTTGAGAGCTGATGTCTGTAATTCCTTAAAGAAATCTTCAGAGCAGGCTGAGATTTATCCAATGAAATATCTCATTCCTTTCATCACTATGAAAGAAGGCAGAAATTTACCCTTAGTTATGCTGAGAGAGGTATTATGTGTGTGACTGAGTCTTCTGCCTTGCATTTGTACACTAGAAACTTCTGCCTTGATTTAAGTGAGCTGTGGTCCAACAGAGTAGGTGTGCTCTATGTGTTCTTGGCAGTATGTGCCACTATCTGCACCTTTTCTGCTATCTTTGTTGTATTCTTGAAATGTGTATAAGCAAGTCTTTTTCCGCTCTCCCTAGCGCTGTATGCCACAAGACACTGCTTTCTCCTCGCTCTTCTTCAAAGTCCTCATGCAGATGCTGCAGTGGTTGGAGAACCCTGCAGTGGAAGATGGTCCTCTGCGAGCTCAGCTGAAGGCCTTTGCTGTGCAGTACTCCTCAAGGCACAGGATCAGTGACGGTACTGGTGTTGTGCAGCTTATGGGACTCAGTGGGACAAGAAAGGGCCAGAAGCAAAACTGCAATACAAACTCCACGAGGATGCAGACAAGTGATTTAGCTCTGGGGGTTTGGAGTAGACACCTGGTAGCATCTCACCAAGCACAGTGGATCTTTCAGGGATTACTTCCAATTGCTCAGGCGAGGAATTCTGTGCTAGCTGTAGTCCTGAAAGATGAACATGCAAGAACACCTCTTGAACAAGGTCACATCATGACTTGTAGAGTTGTTTATCATCTGCTGTCTGTTGGGAGGAGGAGTCTGTAACCGAAAGATTAGGGATGGAAATGCGTTTATGGTTATACAATTTTCTCTTAACCACGTGTCCCTGTAACGTGTAGAAGAGCTGTCAAGGGTTTTGGGGAGAGTAAAATGGCAGTAGAGTGTAGTGTGTTTGGATGTTTGAGTAGTTGTGCCCTGGAGCCACATGGGGCATCTTTAAGAGGGAAGCTTGATGTGGGGGCTGGCTTGGCCCTGCGATGCCAATGCTGTGATTTCTTTGCAGTTCGAGGTGGCTTTTTGCACCTCACAGAAGCTCTGACTTTCCGTCATGACACTGACTTGATCAGCTCCACGGTACGTGCCATCATTGCAACCCTGAAGTCAGGAGAGAAGTGTAATGTGGAGCCAGAGCTCATCAGCAAAGGTATGGCTGTCCTTCTGCTCTCCTTCGCTGTTGCAGCAGCAGGCTGAACTTCCAGCCCAGCAAGGGAGTGCCTGGTGTGCAGGGTGTGGGAAGCTGCCTTCTGCCTGGATCAGAAAATGTGAACTGATCTAAACTTGGTCCTATCTTGTATCACCTCCTTCCCCTGCACTGGTATGTGGGTTTATAAACTGTGATCTGGGGCTGGGATTAAGTCTCTTGGCAAACTGTTGGTTTCTGCTCACAAAATGAGAAATAGAAGCCTACTATCGCAGACAAAAATGGCTTTCCTCTTCCTTACTGAGCCAGGCTCTTGGGAATGCTGGACTGATTGCTTTCATGATATTCTTATAAGGTTCCATAGCTTTCACCACATCCTGAAGCTAATGAGTGACATCTTTCTCCCTCTACTAGTTCTTCAAGGTCTAATTGAAACTCACTCTCCGTACTTGGAGGAACTCCTGACTGTCCTCTTCTCAGCTACTGTTGAGACCACTGCCAGGTTTCCTGCCATGAAACCAATTGCTGTGGTGAGCTCCTTGTTACTCCAAGACAAAGAAGAAACACCAGTGAAGGAGGAGCTGGACAGTTGCAGGTGAGCCTAGGCAATGGTGGGAATTCACTGGTAGGTCTGGGTTCATGACATCACCGCTGATACTATACTGGCTTTGGTTTCTTCTCAGCACTGAAGCAGCTTGGCTCGGGCCCTCCTCTGGCCTTCTCAATGACTGGCTGGAGATGCTGGACCCAGAGGTGATCAGCAGCTGCCCTGATCTCCAGCAGAAGCTACTGTTCTCCTGGAACAAAGTAAGGGTTGTTGGGCAGAGGGACGACTGTGCTGAAACCACCTTACTGGGGTACTGACCTGCACCTGGTAACAGGGCAAGGAGTGGTTTTATGTTTTGCCACGCCTTGCTATACTGGTTCCGAAGCAGTACAGGCTGACTGCCAGAGGGATTCTGGTGCATCCTTCCTAGTGCAAGGCTTATGTTTCCTCTTGTCTCTCTTATCTTTATATTTCCTCAGCTGTGTTCTTTTCAGGACTTCAAAGTGTGTTACAGACACAACATAGTCCCATAACAGCCCAGCCAGCTGTGATTTCATTGGTATTTTTGCAGACAGATAAATTGCTTGCCCAGAAGTGCTATGCCAAAGCTAAGACTAAAACTGAATTTCACAGCTGATGCCGTGTTGTGTTAGAAAGTGCTGCAATTCAAATCCTAAATCCACACGTTGTCTTCTGTGCTGTCTGTCTGCCTGGATCATCATCCTTCTGTAATATGCACGGTATCTCCTACATCCACCTCGCAGCAAGGGTCTGTTTATTACATCTCTTCTTTGTTTGGTCCTTTCAGGCAGGGTCCCAGGTGCCCTCCTTCCGCCCGTATCTCTTGGCTCTTCTCACTCACCAGTCCAGCTGGACCACGCTACACCAGTGCATCAGGCTTCTGCTTTGCAGAAACCGGGAGCAAAGGTGAGTCTGGTTTTTCAGGCCTAGCAAGGAGTTTTAAGTTGGACAACAAATTGTGTCTGAGAGAGAACAAACAGAAGCTGAGAACAAGAGCTGCCATGCTCCACTGTGCATCTGCCAGGAGATGTAACCAAGCCAAAAACAGGCTTTGTGAGAAGGATGCTGATTTCAGTCATGCTGATTTGTGTACCTTGATATAAATGTTACCTGCTGTTTGATGGAAGCAGCACATAAAGATCTGGCTGTGTTCTAAACAGGAAGTGCTAATCACTGGGTAATCCATCTAGCATTGCCCTTGTTGATAATCTTTATGAACATGAGGTTTGAAAGATGGCTTGGATAGGGAACTGATGGCAGTCTCTGTACCTGGGCAGGCTCTGCTCGATCTTTTGGTTGTACTAAACTCCATTACTGGTCTTTCTCTAACTGTCTTCCTGATGTCAGGCTCCCAGTCTGATCTCTGGAGCAGCCCTCGCTCTCGGCTTCTGTACATTGCTCTCAAATACTGAAGTGCCACTGTAGTAGTATCTTGCTTAAACTTGTTACACTTATAGACCAGGAAATGCTAACACCTAACGGTGGTAATTCAGGGCGTGACTAAAGTAGCGATACTTCTAAAGCTGGCAGTATTTCAGTTTTCTTACTGTTTTATTATTGATCTCTTGCTCACTAACAATTCCAGTGATTTCTGCAATCCAGGATAACAGGCAGGGTAGGATGTTCTGAACACTGGGACAGTAGGGTCACTGGTCTGATTGTACCAATTGTTTGTGCTGATAACCAGCTTCTGGCCTTGTGATGCAAGTCTCTGTGTAGCCACCACACTCTTGCTGAATGCCATTTGTTCAGCTCCATATCCTGTGCCGTGCTTATTGCAGCAAATATTTAGTCATAATCTGGGAATGGAACCAAACCCCTTCTTGGGACTTAATGGATCCTATTTTTATATTTGCAGATGTTTCTTTCTTCACAGTACTCATGATGTTTAGAGACACTGCCATGTGTTTGTGTGCTGCCCAAGGGCTGCGTTGACTCTAATTGCAAATCTGTCTTCTTTTGTCTTCTGGCAGGTTTGACCCATCTGCATCCTTGGATTTCTTGTGGGCCTGTATTCACATTCCTCGGATCTGGCAGGGAAGGGACCAAAGAACTCCTCAGGTAGTGGTTCAGTTCTTCCAGGAATCCTCTCTGGAAGGAGTGAGAGGCGATGCTTTCACAATGCCTTTTTTTTCCGTGGCCCAAGAGGTGGCTGGAGTGATGCAGGTGCAGCATGCCAAGTTTGCTGCATGTACCTCAGCTGGTTGCTTAGCTGCTCTGCTGTGTTACATATTACAGTGGCAATTCTGAGTCCAGAAAGCTGATATGAACGCACGTAAGTCTGCCCACTTGGCATTTCCTCTGCAGCTCCTGCAGCAGTTGCCACCATATCTGTTAAACATCTAGGCACAAGGCTACAGTGGTGAGCAAGCTAAAACCAAGTGTGGGATAATTCCCGTTTCACCAAGAAACAGGGATTGTGTCTCTTCTCGACAGAGGAATTTCTTTGGTTTGGTGACTGAATTGTGGTTTTTGTTCCATCACACACATGCAGAGTTGGAAGTAAATGAATTCAGAAGTAGAAGAGGGATAAAGAGACTTCATCTGGGGCTGTGATGCATGCTTGCGGAGCTCTAGATATGGGGGCGTTCTTAAGTCTAGGCCTAAGACATGTTCTGTTCCAGTTGGGGAAAGTGTGACTAGAAGGAATTAAGGATCTAGGGATTCAGCCTGGATTCATTTTGGGTGTTCTCTTGCATTACAGAAGCGCCGTGAGGAATTTGTCCTCCACCTAAAGGCATCAGAATTGATCAGCATGGTGGAGCTGATCCTGGCTGAAGCAGAAACCAGGTACCAGAACACAGAAGAGGCCTCCTGCACGCTCATCCAGTCTCGACTGCCTTTGTTGCTCAGTTGTTCTCATGGGGACCTTGAGAGCATCAAAAAAGTAACGGAGTATCTGACCAGCTGCATCCAGCAGTGGGGAAGCAGGTGGGGTTGCAAATGGGGAGCACTGTCTGCCCTAATTGTATTTACTTGTCATTTTAAGCGGTACTTGGACCAGGAAGGTCACTTTTAAAAAGTGACATTTCAAGGCCCTTTTGCTTTTAGGACTTCAGGACAAAATGTTTGCCATGTTTTTTGATTTGTTTATTTTTGTTTGGTTTTGGTGCTTTTTTTTAGGCAATGGTTGGTTTTAATTACCAGTTCCTAACGTGGGATTTCTTGTCTACTCATCCCTTGAATCACTGCTCATAACGCATCCTGCTTCTGACCATTATGATTGCTCTCAAAGCTGAATGGAGACTAGATTGTTTCCTAACAGCTGTGTTAGCACTGAGGGAAGACCAGGAAGAATGGTGTGTTTGTGGCAGTGAAACAAACTGACCTACTCCTAACCTCGCTTATGGTGGTGTTAGAAAAGGCACTGAGCAATCCCAGTTGCCATTGCATTGTACTGCGTCCCAGTACGGACGGTGCCAGGGACCTATGGAGGGCAGGTGTGGAGAGAACAGGCTGCCTAGTGTGAGTAGTTGTGCTTCTGACTACGTTTCCAGTTGGGATGGGGATGACCACGAGTACCATGTGCAGGAACTCTCCGCTGGAGATGCAAGCAGAGCTGTCTTGTCCTGTGCCCCTTTGTAACTGGAGTTTTCTAACTCCAAACGGCCCAATGATGGATCCCTGTAGACTGTGAATGATTTGAATAGTTCAAAAGAAGCAACGACTGAATAAACACTGCTTCAGATTAGCAGTGGCTGCTCTTTTATATTTTTGCCGTACGCAGGAAGGCTGTTACTAATCTGAGGGGTCTGGGATGTTTGCTGGTTGAACGTAGTAACGAGTGGCTGACCTCTCCCTTTTTCCTTCAGCTCTGTGGGAAAATGCTGCCAGGACCTTCTGCTTCAGATATACCTGCAACTACCCGAGCTCCTTGTGCCTCTGCCTGAGATGCTTCTCACCAGTGAAGGAGCCAGAGATAGCAGCACTTGCAAGGTAAAATTAGAGGCATAGGAAAGCCCCTTTTCAGTTGTGCACCCAGAGTGGATGCTACCTTGTTGCCCAGTCTAAAAGGAGAGGACTGGCAAAAGCTTCCTTGGTCACTTTGGTTGCTTTACATTGCTCTTCTGTTGTCCCTTCCCTACCTGCGCTCTCAGAAGCAGAGAGTTCAGTTGTGATTTATTTTGCAATGTCCTTCTATAAAATAATATAAGCTCCACAAGCTTCTGTGTGCCAAAGGCTTCTATAAAGAACAAGTGTGCAGGCGTCTGATCCTGCTTTGATGTCTGTAGGGACTGTGGACTTCAGATCCTGTGCCAGCTGGAACGTTCCATCTGCAATGTTGCATCTGCTCGCATATTCTACCTGAAAATAATTTTTTTAACCCCCTCTGCAGCTGGAAAGGAATTAGGAAATACTGCTGAAGAGCCAGGGGCTTCACTGTGCTTTAAACTTCTTAACTGTTTACTTTTCTTCTAGCTCGATGCCCTGGTTCACAGATTCATTAACCTCCTCGCAGACACCAGTGATTCCAAGTCATCAGAAAGCCGCGTGTGGGATGCCAATATGGCCTGCAGGAAGCTAGCTGTGGCTCACCCCATCCTACTTCTAAGGTACCGCTCTCCCCTCTGACCCTCTGCGTGGCTGGCGTTCATTGAAAAGCACCCACCCTTGTCCTAGAAGGGGCGCAAACTTGCAGTAATTGTGATGATTGTGACAGAATCCACATTCACGTACAAAAGTCAAGAAAAAGGGCAGCAAAGTCATGTCTCTTTACAATGAGGCAGCACCTCGTTTGGCTCTGTGGAAGTCCAGAAACAGTCCTGTTGGAGTTGGAGACTAGAGAACAGAATGTGGGTGGTAAATGGGGCTTTGCTGATTCTATGGATACAGGGATCAAATCCAGAACCCTGGCACAGGCTAAGGGATGCTTTCTTCCAGGAACTGAGGTGTAACAGCATATAACTGTTTTTAGGAAGAGGGTAGATATGGATTTTTTTCTGTTTGGCATTTCAGGCACTTGCCAATGATTGCAGCACTGCTGCATGGCCGTGTTCACCTCAATTTCCAGGAGTTCAGGCAGCAGAACCACTTGACCTTCTTCATCCACGTCCTGGGGATCCTGGAGCTGCTCCAGCCGCAGGTCTTCCAGAACGAGCACCAGGCGGCACTATGGGACTGTCTGCTGTCCTTCATCCGTCTGCTCCTGGTAGGACAGTCCCTGCTCCCCCTCCACACACGGGCTGCCAGCCACCAGAGGGAGAAGCTCACCAAACATGGGGCCAGCCCTGCTCTCCCCTGTTTGAAGGGAAAACCTTCATGTATCTAAGATCAGAAAAATGTATCAAGTACCTTGGAGAGTTTAAAGAGGAGGCAGGAGATCAAGAAGCTACTCCCTGGTCCCCAGAGGTGCAGGGTGGGGCAGTGCATCGCTGCTTTTTTTCTTAACTCTCATCTTCTTGGTCCTTTCTCAGAACTACAGAAAATCCTCACGGCACCTGGCTGCCTTCATCAGCAAGTTTGTCCAGTTTATCCACAAGTACATCACATGCAATGCCCAGGCAGCTGTCTCCTTCTTGCAGAAGCACTCGGATCCACTCCAGTAAGTTTCCTAACTCCAGCTAGCCCATGGTTAGCTCATGGAGAACTTGTGCAGTCAGACTGCTGTGAGCTAATCAGATGGAAGACAGCAAGAGGATGTGACAAAATAGCTATTAATATGGCACATTTTCACCCTTAGCTCCCTTAAGTCTCTGTTGAGATGAGCAGCATATCCCTTATTATAGGTGAAAACTGAGGCTAAAGAAGTCAGATGATGTTTTCAGCTCGCATAATGGCCTGAATGTCCTATTGAAGCATTGTAATGCCCTGCAGTCATTTCCAGAGGGCCAGCAGGAGGGTCTTTTCCTCTGGTGGTGGCTGAAGGCTCCCACCTGCAGATACGGGGAAAAATGCATTGGAGTTCCAGTTATGATGAAAGGAAAAATCTTGTTTCTGCTTCTGAGAAACTATTCCTTTAATTGTACATATATGTGCTGTTACTCGTCCTGGTGCCCTTATTGCTACTGAAAGCTAAACATGCCGTCTCTTCCGCCAGTGACCTGTCGTCAGACAACAGTGACCTAGCAATGTTGAAGTCCCTCCTGGCTGGGCTGAGTCTGCCTAGTAAGATTGGCATCTTGGACAGGGGCTCTGATGAAGAGAAGGATGGTGAGTCTGAGTCGGGGGAAGAGTTACTCCAGCTGGTGAACCCACAGTATGTTTTGGAGGACAGATGCTTTTATGGGCTGTATGCTGTGCTCATTCTTCTTGTAACAGCCCAACAGAAGGATGTTTAGAGTGGAGAATCACACTTGTATACTCAGCAGTTTGGAACTAGTATCTGGGATGGGTTAATTTGTTTTCCTGTCAGTGGTATGACTACTGGAGCAGAAGAACAGCTCGTAACAAGGGCAAGTGTCATTGTTGTGGATTTTGCCTTCCTCAGCCACACTCCAGGATTGACCTGTCAAGAGACCCTAAGGGTACATCCACTTCTCCACTGTTTTCTTTGCAACTTGCATGGGAAAACTATTCCCTATTAGAACAGCTTGGGAATGTTCCTTCTCTTTTCATCAGATGAGGGGTACCAGAAGTTCCAGTGAGGCCAGAGATAAATGTGAGAGCCAAGAATTGTGTTATAGTGTTGCTGGTCAGCTCATGATACATCCCAGTACTGACAGGGGACGCTGGACCTGTCTTCCTGTTAAAACTGCATAGCCTGTTAGAAGTGACCTGTTCGCTCTGTCTTTCCCCCAGATGAAGCAGCAGCTGGCTCTCTCCCCCTTGTCAGTGTGTCTCTCTTCACTCCTCTCACACCAGCTGAAATGGCCCCGTATATGAAGAGGCTCTCTAGAGGCCAGACGGTTGAGGGTAAGTGAGGACCTGCAGAGCTGTAGAAAGATGCAGGGCAAGTGCAGACAGATGCCAGTCCTGTTACTTATCTGTCAGCTACAGGCTAGTTTCCTGTTGCAGTCTTGGGTTTGGAAGTCTCCAGCAGTTAGGGTATGGTTTTTTTTTGGATGAACATGTCCATAGCCGCCTGTGATTCTGTGACAGAGGTTTCCTGTGGTGCTGTTATCACTTAGCTAAGCAGTGCTGCAACTGTCTCTGCTTTGGGGCTCTTTAAGGATCTTGTAAGTGCTCTGGGAGATAGTATGAGTAATTCAAGGAGCGCTGCAGTTCATGTCGAGCCAGGTCTGGAGTGCTGATAGGAATGCTATTTATTTTTAATGATATAAAAATATCAAACTGATGAGAAGCAGGATTTTTTTAGAAATCCCCAACTGACCTTCATGGAAGAAAAATGTGGCAACTTGGCATACAGGAACAACATGTGTCTTCTCCAAAGGTCTTCTGAAACCACAGGTGTCTGGTGTTCAGGCCTAAGTTGCGGTATTGGGGTGACAGTTTTCCATCCACACTAAAAACAGGGGGCAGAAATCCTGCCTGGACACTGTTTTTAAAAAGGCTTTCTATGAAGATCTTTCAGGTACAGAAGAAGGTGTTCACACCCTACTCCACATCTTTGCCCTGTGTAAGGCGTGACAGTGCTGGTGCCCTCTGCCTGGGCAGGCTGGGATGTGCTGATCTAGCACATGACCTACCGGTTCTCATTGTTTCTGAAGAACGCCTTTAGTACTGTAGCTCTGTGTGGAGGTGGGAAAACTTGACTGCTTGGGAGAGTGGATTTGTGGGGAAACAGAAAAAGATCTTCTGCTGGATCAGTGAATTTTAGTCACCCCTTTCAACCTGTGTCTTCCACCAGACATCCTGGAGGTGCTGACAGACATTGATGAGATGTCCAGGCGGAGGCCAGAAGTCCTCTCCTTTTTTGCTGTGAGTATTAGCGTCTCAGACTGCCACTGGAAGGAAGAGATTTTTTTCACCAGAGCCTGTGTTGCACAGCCAAAGTACCACCCTTCCTCTGCTTTTTGGGTGGTTGTTGCAGGATCTTAGGAGAAATTTATCTTCAGTTAGGCCTTCTGACAGCAGGCAGTATTTACTTCCCTGCCATCTTCTCTCCATTGCATACTGGGTCTGTCATCATCCACTTTAACTTCTCTTTGTGTCAGAGGAAAAATTAACCCTCTGTCCCCTTCCCAGTATTGGGGCAAGGAAAGAGCTCTGTCGAAAACAGTGGAGCCTAGGGAAAGCTCAGCTGGCCCAGGTGGAATAAGATTCCAGGAGGGTGCTTTAAAGTATTCGGAAACAGGATAATCCTTCTCACAGAGAGGGATTTCCTGGCTCAGCCAGTACCTGCTGGACGTGCGTTGGGCTGGATTGGTGCTGGAGGGGTAGCAATGCAAGTCTGAGGCATCTGTGCTCCCTGGATGGCCCTGTGATCCTAACTCGTGCATCGTCTCTCAGACAAACCTGCAGAAGCTGATGAGTTCATCAGAGGAGTCCTGCCGAAATCTGGCCTTTAGCCTGGCTTTGCGCTCCATTCAGAACAACCCCAGGTGAGGAGCACTGGAGCTTAGGCTGTCCCGAGTCACAGATGGGCACTGGCTGCCCATCTTGTATGCCTGTCGGTGGTGAGCTGGGCTGTATTGACACTGTCATGTTTTAATCCCAGCATTGCTGCAGACTTCCTTCCCACCTTCATGTACTGCCTTGGCAGCCGAGACTTTGAGGTGGTGCAGACAGCACTGAGGAACCTGCCTGAATACACCCTCCTTTGCCAAGGTAAGTTGATATCTGCCACCTTTGGTGCATGCTTGGCCTCACAAGGGTCAAAGCTGAGCTTCTGTGCTGGGAACAGCCCCACAGGGAAGTTGCCACGGGTCGGTGTTACCTAGACCAGGCCATCGAACACGCAGGTGATCTGTGTCAATAGCAGCCTTGGCCTGAGTATCACAGGGGAGATTTGCCATATTGACAAGAGAGGCTTCCTTGAAGTAGATTTGCTCCCTTAGGATTTTCTCCGAGGTGTGATCCCTTACATGATCGCATACCCACGGAGCTATTAGAGGGTGGGTTGTGCCATGATCTTACAGAAGGAGAGCATTTCATTCACAGCGGCAAAGTTGTGCCTGTTGGTGGATTGCTCTTGCTTGTGTGTTGGAGCTCTTGGGTCAGTCCTCATGCTGTCCTTCCCTTTCACAGAGCACGCGGCAGTGTTACTGCACAGGGCCTTCCTGGTGGGGATGTATGGCCAGATCGACACCAGCTCGCAGATATCAGAGGCCTTGAAGGTTCTGCACATGGAGGCCATGATATGAACATGGGGCTCGGGGGCTCCACTTCCAGAGGAATTAATTTAACTGGACTCATCGGCTGCATTGAAGCCCTGTAAGAAGACAGTGTATTTCACCCCATGTGCTGGAATATCAGAGGTGATGTAGCAGGCCAAACTGCTGGAAGAGGAGAGTGTGCTGACTGAAGATCAGAAAGGGGCAAGGATCCATCTCTCTGGCTTAGAAGCCATTATTGCAGGAGAAAGATCTCTTGAACGTCGTGCCACTTCACAACAGGGACCATTTCTTTCATGGGGTCTTAGGGCAGTGGCTGTCGGTTTGTTGTTTGGTTTTTGTCTCTCCAAGAAGGCAGAGCTGCTGGGAGAGCAGAAGGGAGCGCTGGCCCTTGCACTTGAATTCTCTGCGTTCTCTCTATTGGAGGGAACATGCAGATCTGTGCAGGGTGAGAGACCACTTTGTTTTCTGAGGGTGGGTGTTTGGGTTTTTTTTTTCCTTTTTTAATTAAAATTGTCTTGTTTCTGTTGTGCCTTTCTCTGCTCTGTGCTGCCTTGGGCGTAGCTTGACATCCCCCTCTCCCTGTTCTTCAGCCTCTTGTTATTCTAGACAAAGCATCTCTGGAAGGCCTGTCTCCGTGGCCAAATGCTCACAGAGCTATCTTGGCCTTTTGCAGAACATGCAGGAAATGGAGGAGGTTTAGAAGGGTCAATGGGATATAATGGATGCATTTGGTCAGCACCAGCTGCTGACAGGACAACTTTTAAGAGGTTCCTTGGAAAACTTTTCTTTAAAAAAAAAAATAAACCAAACTTCTTGGTACATCTGCAAACATCCCAGCAGCTGGCCACTGTCACAGTGGAGTCTTCGAACAAGCAGCTGGGTTTCTTCTTTGGGATCCGCCAGTTCCTCCCTGTGACTCTTGTGACCACTGCTCTCTGGTCCTTGTCTGTTGATAGGGGTGATGGCTTACTTGCCAGCTGTCGTTGGAGGACAGAAAAGCAGATGTCTGTCTTCCCTCTGCTCCAGAGGAATAACTGCCGCATATGCTCATTCTCCAGTCTCACTTAATTCTAGTCACCAGTTTGCTTTTGTGTCGTTTGTCTCTATTCCTCTGGCACTCCGCTTACTAGCAGAGAATCTTTGTAGCATTCTAAAGACAAAGATCCTGGAGGAATTTTATAGATAGCTGTAAATAAGTCTGTATCTCCTTCCTGGTGGCAGGGACAGTTGTGACCTCATGGGTGGCTGGGTGGAGAAATATTGTCCATTCTTGCAAATGAGGCGTGCCACAGCTGAGCACTTTTGCTAATGTGTCAAAATATGAATGAATGTCCGGCTGGCTTTGCAGAGGGGCAGAGGAGAGATCTGAACCTCCCATCAACTGTAAGTAGCCTTGCCTTTAAATAAAGAGATTAGAGCCATAGCTTAAGGATGTAACATGCTCTTTTCCTCAGCAGCATCTGCTTCGCATCCGGATACTGCTCAGTTTGTCAGAGCAGGGAGTTGGTTCTTTTGGTGCTTGTATGGGCCTACAGCAACGGGGAACTTGTGGGACTGGCTGGGAAAGGGCTTTTCACAGGACTGGGAATCAAGGAGAAAGGAGGATGTCTCAAGACCGTTACCACAGCAGACAGAGTCAGACAAGGTAGTGGTGCTTTGGTGAAGATCCTGCAGGTGGGGCTTTCCAGAAACCCCGCTCCAGGGCTGCAACTAGAAACCTTCATGGGCAAAACCAAATTGCGTGGTTGGCCCCGACTTCTGTTCTCTCTGTTGGACGATGCCTGCTATGGGCAGACCAGCTCCAGGAGACCTGGTTTGAGGGAGCTGGGGATGTTTGGATGTTGACAGAATTTTTTAATGATGTCTCACACCAGGACAGCCATGCTTCGCAGAGCAGTGGGAAGAGAGATGTGTGTGAGAAGGTGGAAGGAGCATCTCTTTATGAGCAGCAGCAGAAATCACCTTTAGGGAGCTCAGGAAACAAATTCAAAGGGAAGGAGAGTGGGTGGAAGTTATTCTGCAGAGCTGAGCCTTCCCTGAGGCTCAAGAAGCATCATCCATGATTTGTTGATATCTCTGCTGTATTGAAGTTCCCGCTACGCATTTGCTCTGCTACCACCCTCTGCTTGGACCCAGTGGAGCTGAGCAGGTTGCCCTGGCTTGGAACACTTCACTGAAGACAGGTCAGGGCTGAGAACAGGGCTCTCAAGGGGTGTGGGGCTGTGCAGAGACAGCTTGGGGCAGCAGCCCATCCCTCCTGTCTGCAAAGGCAGCTGTGACAGCTCTAAAACAGTTAGTGACGGCGTTACTGATGCCCTGACACTTGCCCGCCTTTTACTCAGTGCTCTGTAACTTCCACCTCTGCCTGGCTGAGCACCTTCTCTCCTCTCGTTGCTGCTGAGCTGACAGTGTTGTCCTTCATGGGTCTGCCGGGCTCCTCCCAGGGGCTGGGGCCATCTCCTCTGTCTTCAAGGAGAGCTGGTGCCTTCTGAGGAGTGGTGAGGAGGTTTGCAGGGCTGTTCCTGGCCAGGCCCGTGAGGCCCCCGTGACTCACCCAGTGGAAATCACTGCTCCCATCTGCGTTCCAGACCACACGTCCCACAGTGGGGCAAAATTGCTGCTTAGACACTTCTCTATCACGATCTGCTGTAAGTCGAGATCTTCCCAGGAGACCCATGGGCTGCCAGGGCTTGTCTCTGAGGGAGTCCACCTGGGGACACACCTGAATGTGCTCAGCACTGACTCGTGGGGAGGCTTTTGGTCTGCTTGGATACACTGGGAATTCCATCCCAGCTCCAGGGGAGGCACAATGGGGAAGGGAAAACTGGCCGCGGACTTGTCTGGCATCCTGTGGCCTCTGTGCGTCAGCTGCCCTGCTTTGGAGGGTGCATGACTGGCGTTGGGCAGAGGTGGTAGAGGGCTGGGGAGCGAAGGGAGCCCAGGCTGGGGCATGAAGGCCTAACAGCTGAATCCAGACAGGGAGCAGGCCCCAGCATGCTGGGGTGGAGGTGGTGGCATAGTGCAGGCAGGCTGCAGCGGCAAAGCTGAGGCTTGGGAGAAGGGGGACATGACACCTCCTCACCCATGTTGCAATGGCCTTCGGGTTTGGTCCTCTCAAAGCCCAGCTGCTTCCCCACAGAGGTGGCCAGCTCCCACCTCCATACCCCACAAGCATCAGGGATCAAAAATCTCTTGCAGACACCAGGCATCTCTTGTGGTGGTTATTTCTCTCTGCTGCAAAGATCAAATGTTTTTATGACCCATGATCAAAATATCATGTTTTTATCACCCAGACGTGGCAGCTTCAGGAGATGGACACTCGTCCAGCATGAACATGATGGACCATTGCTGCCTTGGCTGGGCACAAGTGGGCATCTCTAACCAGACCATACCCTGTTGCTGCCAGGCCCGCTGTGGCTGGGAGCGTGGCCCCTCGCGTGTGCCGATGCCCCAGCGCAGGGATGCAGGTGTTTGACCCAGCTCCCGGCAGGTGCATCCCAGGAACTGAGAGGGGTGTCCTGGAGCACCACGTGAGTTAGGCCGTGAGCAGGGCATGACTAACCAGGGAGGTGCCTGACTCAGTGGCAGCTGCCTCTGGGCATGCTTGATGCTGGGGAACTGGAAGAGTCCCAGCACTGAGCTCGGAAGAAAATCTGCCCGACCTGCTATGTCAACAGCAGAAATGCAGGGAAAGGTAAAGGGGTAACTGCTAAGAAATGGGATTTCATGGTTACAGGCACCGACATTTTGCCAGCCGTTAGAAAAGAGGAAAGGCAGAGAAAGAAAAGCCTCCCTTTGCAAGGAGCAGCACGCAAGAGATCTTGTGCAAAAAAAGGGAGAGGAAAACTCCATCTCTGTTACTTATCATCTGTGTGTAGATTTTTAAATTTTTCTGTGCCAGGGACTGCTCCCTGGGGCTCCACCATCCTCTTCCTCCAGCCAACCTCCTCTGCCCTCAATTAACTTCCTTCTGGCCATACCACAACTCAGGACGGTGATTCACGCTTAACTAGAGGAGTTGTTCGCTAAAAGCTAAAAATGGCAAGACTTGTTTTTTTTTTTGTTGGCTTTGGGTATGTAAAAGCCAGCCTCACACCAGCTAAGTAGCCTGACTTCTATAGGGGTAGGATTTGCCTAAGGTGAACTAATTTTTAAACTTCTTCATTGCCTCTACGTGTGTTTATATAATTTGGCCCTAAAGCAGCAGAATATAGAGCTTTCATTTTCCCCTCCTTTTAAATTCAAGAGACCTTAATATGTCTGCCTGTCCTGCATAGCTGGTGCTGTCTTGCCCTTGGCATTACCCTGTTTGCATGAACAGCATCTCTAACACAAGAAGACAGTGGGCAAAAGAACGTCAAGACCCCCAGCAACAATTAAAAAATTCATTAAGCTACATTAGGCCAGTCATTGCTGGGTAATTATTAAGCTGTAGGAATTGTTAATTGTCTTATTAGCATTAAACAATTATGCAAATAATGGAAAACATACCGTAAGAGTAATAAAATTACCTCCCTTCCTCTTTTCTTTTTTTTTGTTAAACAATAATGAGATTTAAAATCTAAAATGATGCTTATGGCTTTGCTCTCCAGGGTTTATCGGGAACACCTCTGGAGAGGAGTGAGCCCTCTAAGGGCACTCAGCACAGGGCGAACAGGACATCCTGAACCACATCTACCACGAGTCGTCTTGCAGAGCTTTGTAGGGGCTGTCCCCCTGTTCTGCAGCCACCCAGGCAGCAACACAGGGATGTTGGCCAATGGCCTTGGACGACCACGCAGTGGTCACGCTGCTAGGTCAGGACTGGAGAGAGAGAGAGCTTGAATTTTGTACTATCATAGACTTCCTATGGGAGTCCCCATTCTCCCCCCAAACAACGCATGGGGTGCTTCAGGTTTGGTCTGGGTGAAAACAAGGCAATTCATAGTTTTTCACATCAGTTCAACGCAAAAGTGGAAAGTTCTGGCATTTAAAGTTACACTGTCGCAAGTATTTTATTACTATCAAGTTAGTAACCTGAGGTAAGAGCCGGCCTCTCTTCCGGGGCAGGTTCCAGCTGGATTTCGGAGGTCAGCAATAAGCCGAGGGCCGAGCACATGCCTTTGTGTTCCTGTGAAACGAGAACAAGACCTCGTTTACCCCCACCGCCCTGAAAATGTGACTTCACTTCTTCATGTCCACAAAGAGCCTGGAAGAGGCAAAGTGCTACTTTGCTTCAGCATGTTAACCTTGTTAATCACTAACAAATATTATCAGTTTTCCAGGCTTTAAACTCTGCTCCACTGATAAGACACAGCATTTCAAAGCAGCCAAGCCAGCTCCTGCTCCAGGGTGGGTCCTGCTCCCATGGTGATGCCACGATAGATGTGGGTCACCTCACCCAATCTTGTGATCCAAACAGGTTTTGACCAGCGAAACGCGCCTTCACTTTTGCTTTCTGATAAGAGTGGTGAAGTTTGCAGCTCCCCGAGGACCGGAGGGAGCGTTCTGCCATGGCAGTGCAAAGATCAGGAATCACCACC